GTTTGTGCGGTTCAAATACTTCCTAAGTATATACCATAATGAATTTTTATAGCTTATTAACAGTATAATATAATATAAACCTTCAATATTAAATTTAATCCCGATGTATAAATACATACATATTGAACTTAATCGCATCATTATATTGTGACCAACATATTATGATCAATGCCTATGTTATTTAGAAAAAGTACAAGATTGATTGCGAGTGAAGAAGATGTGAACATGAAGAATGTTCCATGCCGCAAAATAGCAAATCTCAATAAAATTATTAAATATTTTCAACTTTTTTGAGTGATATACTAAATCTTGTACAGAGACATATTTAATTATTCTTCTGATATATGTAGATGTATTTATTTTCATAAATTTATTTTATTATTTGTTAGATATTAATAATATTTGTATTAACAGTTTGATGTACTAGTTCTTTTTAAAAAAGTGAGTCATCTCTCCCCGATTTACCATACGTGCCATTTTTTATACTGTTGTTGATCACATTCACGAAAACTCGGCATACTCTATAACAAAGGCTGTTAAAGTGTGAATTATAAAAAATATCAAAATACAGTTTACATGTTCATTAAAAGTGTTTTTCTTATCGAAAATATTTTGTGTCGTCATAAATAAAGCAGTTACATTAAGCTAAATATAGAAAATTTTATAGGCAAATATGTCATGACAGATTATCGTTTTCGTAAATGGATTTCGGTCCACAAAAGTTTGGGAACCACTGCTTTATGCAATTCTGACGCATCTCGCAAGAAACTGCACACATGCAATACGAAGTGTTTCATTATCAACCCTCGCGTGGCTGTCAGCCAATTTGACATATAATAGAATTCCCATTCGGATCCTGAACTAATGACCATTACCTTTTTACAATCTTTGCTTTTTTTAACTATTTAGTTGACATAACATTTTTCAGGAATAAAAAAGAAACGATAAAATAATAAAATATAAGGTCAACGTGCTTGTGCAAGCAAGGACTGATTATACGTAGTTTGCTGCAAAGTTTCGGGGAATTTATCATTTCTAGTGCTACCATTCAGTTTATTTTCGAAAACATTTACATTTTTATGTTTACAAAATGTCGTCACAACGCAATGGAAAATGTATTAATGTCGAAGGAAAACATTTTAAAAAACAATAAAACCATTAGTTTAAACTCGTTTGTGACTTTTCTCATACTATCCTGAAACTTTTGCAGCAACCCACATATAATAGGTCCATATCAGTATTCCTAGGGTCAAAAAGAAATTCTACATTAACCTTTTCCTCCCGATTGGTACACATAAGTACCGTGAATATTTTAAATTACCGGAAAACTAGAAAACGCCTTAAAGATAGAGAAAGATTGCACCACACGGGAATCTTTGCTTATGGCTGACAGCTTAAGTATTAATTATAATTATTAATGCTCATCTTGTGATTATATACAGATGTCATTGTAATATATGCCATTAGAATTTCAAATTTAAGCCTTTCATCCCTAAATATGTATTTTTTCCCATAAATCAAAGAGAGGGCCAAGAACAGCTGCTTACGAGAAATTGAAGATTTTTTATTATTATTAGTGCTTATCCTATTTCTTTCACTGAAAAGTTTCAATTTCACTTGAAAGCAAATGTTCTCGGCTCTTTCTTTGATGTAGGAGAAAAATACATATTCAGGAACGAAAGAGATAAATTTGAAATTCTAGTTGCATATATTACAATGACATTCGTATATAATCGCATAAATGAGTATTCGTTTCACGCGAATGAGAACCGTGTAAGTAGAATGTCAGTACAAAAGAAAACAAAATATTGGAAAGGAAAGCTGGTATAAGTTTTAGGTTCACAAAAGAAATAATAATAATGACATTTCAGAAAATAAGAACAAATTTTATTCTGTGTCACTAAATTCAGATCGCGTATAAAAAGTACCGCGTAAAAAGATACCACGTAAATGGAGGGAGTCTAATGAATAAGAAAATTTATAGGTATAACAACAACAATAACTATGGGATCAGAATGACCCACCACTCACCATACAAGGATTAAATTCCATGTGTGTAACAGAGGTAGAACCGATGATCAGAACACAGTGAAATATTGTTCATCACTTATTAAGTAGGACGAATATCTTTCGCACTCTATAATAAGATTCGACACGCTCTCTAGGGTCGAGAGATGGTGCATGAATTTACGATCTCCACCAGCTCTATACTTGCAAGATACTGTCCACCACTCTTGTAACTTATGAGCCATATACTTGTCTCAATACTCATAGTCCACTAGAAATAGAGATATACATGTATATTTCGAAAATTTAACGTCATTGCTGTCGACCGTAAACACCAATGTAAATGCATCTATGTTTATATTAACGCATTCGATACTGCGTGTACGAAAGTTAGTGCATGATGAAACTCATACCCACGCCAGGCGATGTTTACGTCATTGATAAATATATTACAAGATGATCGGGATGATGAATTGTTGAAAAGAATAATGATTACTGCAATTTTGCATTGCATTTTCCAATTTCAACATTTATTATAACAGTAAATAAATTTTCAGCTCACAAAAAACTAAAAAAATATATCATTTTTATATATTTGGTAAACTTTTCTCAAACATGCTTCAGCGCTGAACTTGTTAAGCAGGTATTCGGATTTAAAATACCACTTTGTAGATTTTCCGCTACTATTCTTTAAAAAATTGGAGAAAATATATTTTACACACATATTTAGTATTACTTATATTATACAATATATTTTTTTCAATTCAAAATACAGATACGTGTCCATTGCTTGAAAGAAGACCATCGCGACGGCACAGAGTCAAGAGGTGTCTTCCACTGTGTACGTTGTGCAACGTGACGGTGACGCGACAGAATTAGTGTGTGTGTGACTGTTTCAACCAATCGCACACTGAAGCTAAAAACACACTAGATTCCGACCACTCAGACCCGCAATCCTTCCAACGGTCTTCTTTCAAACAACGTGATATACCTATGACATGAACCACGGAAAATAGAATATCGTTTTATTTAAAAATATGGTGACACTCTGAAATTCGAATTCTCATGTTTTTATATTTTTTCGCCCTCAATATACTAAAGAATGAGAAAAAGATCAAGATTTATTAAAAACGGTTATTCATCTGACAATGATAAGTTTCCTGAATATGTTCTTCAAATTTATAGTGAATTAGACAATTAAATCTTGAGATATCGTCTATTTACGTTATATTGGAAAATAAGTTTTCGAGAAAAATGTGTTCAAAATATCTCGTACCTATAACATGGCGTTATACATTATCATATATTTTTTCCCGGTCCTTGAAGAGTCACAAATTTTGACATCACCAAATAAGAAAATTATATTTTTCTTCGGCGAACGGTACCGTCAAAGCCTTCATCTGCAATCCCCATAGCTACCACTGATGTCAGGTTAGATTTATAGCTATGACCTCTGACTGAAGTACGTGTAAAATAAAATTGCATGTTGCAACGTCTAACGCGAAAGAGGAAAATGCAATATACGGACTCACGCTTGCATTTGTTAGGTTTTTATGCATAAGAGAAATCATCATTAATTCTAGGAATCCCTTGTCAGTGAGAGCAATCTAAGGTAGGGTTTGAAATAGTTATCCAAAACCGAAATAAAATCATAGAGTAAGCCGGAGAGAGATGACTCACTATTTGTAAAAGTACGCTTACATAGTAAATATCATTAATACGTAACAAAAAGTTAATATATTTTATGAAAGTAAATACATCTAAGAAGAATAGTTAAATAAGCTTCTGTGCAAGGTTCAGTATACTACTAAAAACGATTGAAAATATAAATATTTGACAATGTAAATAAGATCAGGCTACATTTACATCTAAAAGCCCTGTTCCATAAACATAAGATGACAGTAGAACCGGTACAAAAAATATTATTATGTTGACAATATTTGTAAACATTACAAGAAACACAGAAATATTCTTCTACTTGGGAGAGTAAGATAGTGAAATCTGTAGAGCTGAAACTAGATCAAGTGCACGCGTAATTGACAAAATGTCAGACTTATTTTTCTTGAAAACAAAGCGTCACATAAAACAATTTCATTCTACATTTTCGATTCAGTTTTTCTCATAGAATCACTCTCCGCTCGCTTGTGCCATCAGTTACAGGACACCCTGTGTATTAATTTGATTGTTTGTGATCGTTAAATGTGAATGCCTCGGTAAAATCCTTGATCGTGATCTGACTGTACCGTTGGCCGCTAGTATGAATTAAACCCTTCCGAGTGCCCGTACTACTTAACCCTTTGAGTGGTCTGAATGCATATATGCGTCCAGCGAAAGTCATCGCTGTGGATTATGCACACATTTAAAGTAAACTCTCATATAACGCAGTTAATATATTACGTGTTGTATGAATTTGCATTATAGGAAATCGTGATACGAATAATAAAAGTTAACATGTTCCAATTGCTTATTAGCATGCCCACTCGTATTTTCTGTTTTATAAAAAATAAAATGAATTAGAGAACAGGTGAAATCGGTAACAACGAAGAAAACAATGTGTAATGTTCAACTAAAGCTTATCTTATTTTGAAATTCGAAAAACTCCGGCCTATTTTTAGATATCGAGTGCACAGGGAGTCGCGTTATATGAAAACAGTGGTCGCAATATCTTTGATGTATTATAGGAATTCGCGTTGTGCCGTAGTGACGGTTAAGTATCAGTGTAGAAGAGTAAGCTTTTAGCTACTATACTTGCTTTCGTGTATATCATGTTTTTGAATGGTACGCCACTATAGCTACTCAATCCTTTCTCTGTCACCGATAGCTATGTACATTATAGTCTAATCTAACGTAATTGCACAGTGGAAAATTCTGTCAGTCTCAAATCGTAGTGCTACATTTACGATGCGCAGTCCAAAAGGTTAACAGATATACGCGTTTCTTAGCATTATTCAATATGGCTCAACCAAGGAATTATAATTACAAATAAATTACAGTTTGTATGAGTTAACATAATTCATCGATCTTCAGACAGCAAGCTAAACAAAAAGGTATTCCGTCCACACGAAACGTTTTGACCAGGAGTATTCAGCACTTAAGAGGATAACACATTGCGGTAGTTTTATTGGTAAGTTTACCTCGTGGCCAAATATATTTCTGTTGAACAGGTGCAAACAAATGAAATTACCAATTACGAAAATTCTCGTAATTGGTCACAAACTCTAGAATAGAAAACACGAGAAATTTCGTGATTCCTCTGCAATGTGTTACAGTTATCCTCGTTGAAATTAAAAAATTTTCAGCTTCAGCATTAAAATTCTTACGAGGAAAAAAGCCTTTTACCTCCTAAATTGACTCGAGCACAGCCTGATAAAGGCAGAGAATCGATATATAGTGATGCTCGCTTAAATTCCACAAAATTTGCTCGGCTAAATTCCACTGCACCATCTCTATTCTTCCTCCACCACTCACTGTCTCCAGCTCAGTGTAACATGATCCCAGTAGACAGAGGCAACAATATTGTCCGCCGCTCGCGTCAAATATAATCATGCAATGAAGAAAATTTCAATTGCAATAATTTTAGCCTAGTACCGATGGAATGTAGAGATTTTGTTCATTAAAATGAGTCCGAACACGACGTAAATCGGTCTTATTTTATCGATTTAGGAAAAATGAACCCTTAATATCGTTAATCACATTACGTCGGTAAAACTAATCCGATTTCCATCGTGTTTGGACTCAGTTTAATCACAACAATCTCAGAAATTCAATGGAATTTGAGAAAGTAAGGTTGAAGTTATTGCACTTGCAATTTTCTCTTCTCCTCATTGTATTCATATTCTGTCTCTATCCACTAGGATAACGTTACACTGCGCTCACGACAGTGAGTAGTAGGGATGATGGTTCATCAAAAGTTAACCGTGAAAGTACCTCTAAAATTTAAACGTGGATCACCGTAATATGAATTATCTAATACGTTAGTTTATAACTTACAATCTTCACTTCTTATAAATATTAACAAATGCGTGTCAGGTGCGCATTCGAAGTCGATTGTCTCGGGAATAAAGTCTTCTATGAGAAAATTTTATTCAACGACTTATTTTTTCCGTACAGAATCGCGTTTTCCGGTTGTTCTACAATTTATAAAATATTTTATATAAGGAAAAGCAAAATGTAGTGAAGTCCACGATTTTAATCCTATAAATATGTTTATGTATTTCCCTAGTTCTATTTCAGCGGAAAAGTATTATCTTTCATATATAATTATCAACTGAAATTATATTAATTATGTTATTGAACTGTTCTCTGAAATTGTGAAACGCATTTGCCATGTTCAGTTTTTAAGCTCTTGAATCCTGGAATTATACATACATGTTGTAATAAATTTGATTTTAGTAAGTTCTAATTTTCTTTTTTTCTGAATAAAATGTTATTACTGTTATGATATCATTTGAAGTTTAATTTCATTTGAAATTTATCTACCTTATAATGTGACGTGCAAGAATAATTCAGTGAATTCTTTTATGTTCATTTTCGGTGAGTTCCATAAGTAAATATCTTAAAAAATATGACTATCAGAACATTATAAGTAAGAACCTTGTTTCTACATTCCAAAAATAATAAAAATGTTTTGCAAACGAGAAACATTTTTGCGTGACATACAACATTAAAAATGTACGTACCATTCATTTGTTAATGTAATTAACTTCATAAAGTAAGAAATAAAATTTGATGAATTACATACACGAAGAACTATCTAGTTAGACAGTTTAGAACTACTATTTGAAAACATTCGAAAGATAAAGTTTACCAGTTTGACTTGTGAACAATTCACTGGTTGTGTGACGTAGGCAGTCAGAGTTTACGAAATTTGATTTCTTCTAATATCTCTATTCCAAAAAAGTTGGAGCATGTTAAATATATAATAAGTTTATTTTGAAAACCTTTGTATGTACAACATTTTACTATTAAAACAGATGTTACAAACATGAATTTTCCATAGAAACAAAGTAAAATGTCTTTACTGAATTATGTAAGATAATTGCTAACGATTAACGATATATCGTGTTCCATTACAGGGGGTCTAAACCATAACTTTCCTTAGGATAATGCGAAGTCTGGAGAGGTTATCAGGTAGCGATCAAGACTGTGATCAGGAGATGTATATCGACCTGGACGACGCTTCCGTCGATTCGCTTACCGGAAAACGAAGTCGACATCATGTGGTTGGCACAGAGGTGAGAGACTTTTTCCTTCTTCAAAAGTAATTAATACTGGTACGTCCGCAGAGATAGTTCAAAATAATATTGCTCGGATTAAAATAATCTATAGTGATCATTATATTCAAATATTCACGTAATCTCGCCAACTATCCGGTTTCTATCTGTATAATAAGTATTAATAGTTATAATTTTTTCCCTTAACATGGGTTATTTCACGTATAACATTAATTCTGTGAAACTGGTCGAATAAAAGTATTCACGTTTATTCGTACTATTATCACGTGTCCAATAGAATAATAAATTTATATTTATGTACACTACTTTTGTCAACTGCCAAAAAAGGTAAATTCACGTTAATAAAAATATATCAATATTTTTATTGGATAGTTAATCTCATCATAGTTCACGAAATTTGATGTTATTCAATTTTTTATTTATTACAACAAAATTTTCTTAAATGACCACATATAAACTCATATATTCTGTGTTGTGAAGAACGAAAATAAAATGAAAATATTTAGCATGCATGTTTATATTTATATACGAAGAATCGAAGATCGCAAAATTAGAGATTGTCGCTTGAAGCTTATACGTATTTTGAAAGTGCTATATCAGTATAACTCAATAGAAGTAATATTATCAGTTGACGAATCATGTAGATTGTAGATATACTTCAATATAAATAAATTCAGAAAAAAAAGATCGACGAGTTTTGTAGTTTTTGTTTCGTGAAAAATGGTTCTGTCAAAGAAACAGTTGCTTGTACAAGTAAGTAGGTAGGTAGGTTATAAGAACCTAGTAAAAACTGAATACAGTATTAACCAGGTCAGGTTTCTGATAAGCGGTTCGTCCCTATTTTTGTTTTTCCTTGTACTGCTTGGTTCTGCATACACTTTCTTTAAGGTAAATTCATCACGCAATATGTATAAATGCAATCACACATAAATACAATACAATTTATAAATACAATTTTTAGGACAACAAGGGGACAACTTTACGATATGGGAAAATATTCATAGAGACGTTCATAACCGTTAGCTTTCCGTCCGGTACTGTAGCAGGCCGGCCTGCAACCAATATGCGGTACATAAGGGTTCAGCTTAGAGATCAACCATTGTCTATTTTTCACTTTATCCCAGGTATGGTAAAGTCGTGTTCCAGAGGGTCCGTTAGAATTTCAGAAAAAAGTATCCTCAAGTATCTTGACCTAATGGAATTTCCCCAACGTTGCCAAACATGCGTCCAGCATAGCGACCAACTCCGTCACCCCCACTCCAGGGAAATACCGCGCTACCGGCGTACTGGAAGGGGATGATACAGGAGTGGTTATTATACTTAGGAAGGGATAGAAAAACCGCCCCTGAGGCCCACCTTCGTACATCGAGAGGGAGGGAGTGGGCCCAGGAGGATTATAAAAACCCTTCAGAGAGTCAGTCAGAATTTAAAATCAAACCAGAAACAGCATCAGTCAGAGTTTAGAATCAGAACGGAAACAGTATCAGTACAGTTAGAACACAGTTTAAAAACAAATCAGAATCAGAATCAATTGAGAATTAAAAGCAGGAATACGTTCAATCAGGAACACGTTCATTTAGCAACCACGTTCATTCAGGAACAAATTAGAAACACTTCAGAAAACCTCCATTCAGGAAGGTACATCATTCAGTCAATCAATTATTTAGTCCCAAGATTGGGTGGTCCTTCGAGAAAAATTCAGCATATACTCAAAAGTGCTCGTGACAGTCAGAGTGCTTTACAACAATAATTACCAATGTACTTATTTATTACAACCTCACCGATCTTGATGATTTTTAAATATATTTTTGGAGGCATATTTTGAACAACTGTAACAATGTACAAAGGAAAATGAAGCCTTCCTCAACCAACATATAAAGGAAACAGTTGTTTAATATCATGCCCCCAACAATATATTTCAAAATCATCAAGATTGGCCAGGTTGTAGTACATCGATAACTTCACCTAAAACATTATGTATATACAAAATTAGAAGGAAAGCAATGTTAGAGATATACAAGCTTCTAGACATTCCATGCGCAAAAATGTTAAAAATATAAAATACAGTTTATTCATATGTTGCCCCATTTTCAAGGAAATCGAAATTGAAAATCTATCCGCTACTAACAGTAAATACACACGTTGATTCGACGAACAATACTATGTATCTGACAACGATTTTCAACGATTTCAACAATGCACTAATTAATAAATGTGATGGATCAATAGAAATTATTATTATTATTGCTGAAGTGCATTACGAAGTATCAACCATAATATGCGTGTGTGTTACGTTTCAAGTGATTACTCGATTTATATTAATAATAGCTAGCTAATTACTAATAATAATCAAACAAAGAGGTGAAACTCAACAATTTATAAGAATTTATCACATGTACCAGTGATTATTAATAATTTACAACTATCAACAGTAATTCTAATAATTTTCAGTATATTCAGGTCGAGATTCACTAAAAACGTAGAGATACTGCGTCTATAACCATAAATATTTCTCCAAAACTAATACAAATCTGGATAAACCTATTCTTTGAAGGATAAATTAATTAAAACTAAATAAAGAAGAGTCAACAAATCTAAATGCTTATACGAATTACGTGCCACTGGATAACTTAGAAGACGACATGTATGTTTTAATAATAAATAATAAAGTAGTAATTATTGTAAAACATGTTTTTATTAAATTTATCAGGCTTCACTGTTAATAATTTATATTTACTGGTAAATATAATTATTAGGCGTTATTAGTCATATTTTATAGTAAGTATTAATACTAATCGATTTTATTGCATGAACAGTAGCATACATATACGCTGTTATTGCAAAAATACGAAGATCGAAAGATATGGAGTTTCTCCTGCAAATCCAATGATTTACCACTAACATGCAGTAAAAATTACAATTTGACCGTAATTATCTGTATTTCAGAATTTTTATCAATTTATATTTCACTGAATTAATAGTAGTAAATAATAAGATTTGTCAATTTGTAACAGGACGAAATGAATGCTGATTTCGTAATATTTCAATTTCACGTCGACATTAATTCATAAAGGATTAGGATTTGCTGGAAAATTTTAACATTTTCCGGTATTTAGGTTCTTAGAGTAACATATTTATATTCATGTACCTATACGATTTCTCGAAATCGGATTAACTAAAATAAAAATTTTCCAAGTGACACATATTTTAATATTTAATCCCGAATTTTGTCATAAAACTGATCATTTTATTGTTTATAGATAAGTACGCGAAAAAGTAATAACGAAATTTACAAATATTCACTGTCAATATCAAAACGATGCAATAAATAAATAGAGCTACAAAGTATCAGATTAAAGGTATACAACTTAAGCAATCTTACGTACCATTTTAAAAAATTATATTAGTTATATTTGAGAGGAAAAAACTATTAAAGTTGAAAAACATAAAAGAATAAAATCCAGAATTTATTTGTCAATAACAAATAACGATTTATTCAGATAAAAATTTCTTCGAAACAAAATTATTCATTATTCCTAAATAACTTTGCTTTATTCGAATAAAATCTTCACAAAATTTCTTCACAAAATGTATTTAAAATGATATTCGAATAAAATTTTATTGAAATAATGCCCAATTCTGGTGAAGGCACTGTGCAATTATGCATTGATGGGATGTTAACATCCAGGACTGTATAGGGGCAAGAGATCTTTCGCTGTGTTTTGTTTACAGTATTGACTAATTACATACACTGCTCTACAAAATTTAACTTTCCTTTGTTATTGGTAACCTTATATTTTGTGCCTTATATTTTTCACTATCAATTGAAAACGAAATGTGTTATAGAACTTTTTTCAACGGATTTCGCAATATAGATGTCTGCTCTATCACATGCGGAAATTATTAGATTTTCTCCTAGACGCTTAGTTTTTAAGATAAATTGAAAAATATCCGCAAAAATTGATACGTTCCGGGTGCCGTTTTGCCTTTTAGCATTTTTTAAACATATTTAAATGTTCATAATGTTATTAAAATTGACAGCATTGTATACAGAAAGGTTCATAGAGTAATACTGTGTAAGAAAAGTTTGAAAAATTTGCATAATTATTGATTTTCTCTAAACTACGAGTGGTGGAGAAAAACAGATTACATATTCGCATTCAACATGAGAAATACTATTGAGATCATTCATTAAACCTTCTGTAACAAAAATCGTGTTGGCCAGTGTTATTGTTTGATTTTACTGACAAATTGTACATTGCTATCGAAAATACGGATATCGATATGTAAATACATCTATGTGCAGCCTTTTGTTTCGAAGACTACATAACTGCTATTAACACATTCGTGACCACTCACGTGAATTCACGTCTTCATAAATATAATAACTTTTAAAATATTTGATTCTTTCGCCCTTCCCTATTTGCGACTTCTTTAACAGGAAGTTATTCATTTCAAACAACAAATTTTTACAAAACGAATTTCCCAGTTTTTTAAAATTCTATTACATTATATCGTCGTAACGGCTTCTATATGTTGACATCTTAAGGAAGACATGGTTTTCAACAATATGAAAAATTATGGTGTGTAATTTAATAACGTATAGGAGTTTTGTTAGTAAAAATATCTATTTCATCTGAAATTATGGTATTGTACTTTTACTGTTGTTGTAGTTATATATGTAAAATGGTGTAAACATCGATCATCGCCGAATGAAAAACTGTTTTATATACCTGTCGAAAGGAATTCGTGAAATCAAGTCAAAATTACAATGAAATTGCAGATCAGGTAATATTAAAAGAAGCTATTACAATTTGTATGGCATTGGTTCTCTCATCGATTTGAATAGGAAGAATTGAATATTTAAAGAAAATTTTTGTCTTTTGTGAATTATTTCTAATTATAACATAAAAGTTGTAAAAATCTCTAATAATTTTTCATCAATTTCTTAAAAACATTCTTTTAACAACATTAAAATTCCGTAAAACCATTTGATTAGT